ACGTACGTAGCGACACGTACTAGTTACTTACTACTACTAGAGTAGTAGTAGTACTTACTTTAGTACTACTCTCCGTCGACGAATAATAATACTACTCTCTCTCTCTCTCTCTCTCTCTCTCTCTCTCTCTAAACAATTGAAACTAAACAGTTAAAATGAGGTGCTGTTTCTTATAAATCATACCCCACTCATTGTTGGATCTTCCTGAACTCCGTTAGCACTGGATATATATTTTCAAAAGCTGTATACGTCTCATCCCTCACCTGTGAGTTGACACCAACAACCAACAGTTAATCACATTCTCTGCATCTCTATTTTCCAAATATGTCATTTTCTTATTATTATGGATTAATTCAGGGTACACTTGACTGCATCCAAATATCTGAATATATCAAAATTTAAGGCAAAAGCATGTTTGATAACTCTAAATTCTGACCCTAATAATCTTGATAAAGGCCAAAAATCAATCTCTGAGAATTCAAGACTCGAAGTTTTGGCGATCACCCAAATTTTGGGTATCATTTCTCCGTCAATTAAATTTTACGGTTTTTGGTTTCACTCTCATGCACAGCCCAGACCTCCTCATTCATCTTCGTAGGTGACCTCTCTCATCAGAGACTCTCCCTCTGCCATCTCCCTCTCTCCCTCTTCTTTCTTCTTCTCCTATCACAGCACACACTTTGAATTAGCTCAACAGTTCACAAGAAAAGAGAGGGTTTTATGGAAGATGAGCTCTGTCTTCCTTTAAAACAAAGGCTGATTAAAAGCTCGTTGATTTTATCTGCAAACAGCGGCTAAATAGAGGGCAGGTTAAGCTCTCCACCTTTCTCTATCTAGAAATAGAAAAATAGGTTAACTAAAGGTCTGTTTTGCTACACCAGACACAATAGCTGCTCTTTGAGCAAGCTTAGTAGCCTTGTTCTCTCTAAACAGTGGTTGAGGCCCTCCCATCACCTCTCTCAAAGACAGCCAAACTCCACCTTTCTTCCTCAAAACTCTCAGAAGATTCCATAAGGGACTTATTTTACAAAATATGCGTCAATGGTTTTTATCATCTTTGAACAGCAGGCCAGGCCTGCAGCCCTAGCCGTCGCCTAGGAAGGATCTATTCCTCTCTCTAGGAAATGACACAGCAGCTGAGTTTTGCCTTTCACTCTCCCAAAACCTCATCAAATAAAGGTCAACAGATCTACAACAACCAAAAAAGGGTAGAACAAACTTATCCCCTGTTCTCTGAATCATAAATGCTTTTACTACCTCCTCTCCTCTCTTTAAAAACTTGGCAGTCCCTTCTTCAAAAACTTTTCAGTCTCTTCTCCCCCTCTACCCCTTTCCCACTCTACAAAAACCAGTAGCAAGATGTGCGAGTCCACACTTTCAAGGAGGCTGTTTGTACAGAGCAAAGCATTACAGTGAAGCAAGCTGCACCAGATTTACTCCAAGAGTTGTCTAATGAACTTTGAGAGATTATTAAGGACTAATCTTGCTGGTTTTGGAACACAAGGTGGGGTCGAGTCAATAGAGAGAAGGTGATTCAGAATAACCGATAGACAGTCAAACACTGAGCAAAAGAACACATATCAATATTAATATATAATCTTGATATATGGCAAGCCAGCGATGCCGTCAAAGATTTCTTTAAATTTGAACATTTAAATACTATTTTGTCAAACATAAAGAAACAATATCAAAGAGGATATTTTATCAAACCTTGGCCCCTGTAAGAACAATCTTGCCAGACACAAATATTAGGAGGACTATTTTTGGCTGCTTCATCCGGTAAATCAGACCTGGGAACAATTCTGGTTCATACTGCATCATTTACCAAAAATTGTAAATAAGAAGACTATAACAACAGGGCGCATACTTAGAAACAGAATCAAGCAAAGTATTCAAGCTATTTTACCACAGGTGGCCTCGAAACAAATGAGCAATTCTTACACTTGAGAAAGCACCATGCGAATATGAAAGCCCCTCAAGCCTGATAGGGAACTTGACATCACAAGACCCAACAATATTCTGAATCTTGAAGTCCTGGGGTTAGCACACCATACTAAAATCAGTAACATAAAAGGAAAAAACAAAAAACATGAGTGGTATCATGTGAAGAAGCAAACAAACCAGCAGGCCCAGCATTTAGTAGATATAAAGCAATACCTTAAAGTGAGCAGGGAAGCCAAGCTTTTGGATTATGCGAGCATACTGAAAGAAAGCAACCATATCAGCTCTTGTTTGAAATAGGACTTGAAATGGATCGCCCCCAATGAATATAATTCTCCTCTAAAAAGACAAATACGTTTATATTATGACATTCACTGCTCCTGAACTTACCTTCCTTGCTGCAAGCTTAGATTGTTGTTCACTCTTGGCTCCCGTGCAAACCTGAATTCCAAACAAGTTATCAAGAACAATTAAGAAAATGAAGCATGTCAATAGTCATCACTTACAATAAAAACAAAGAGTGAATCTCACAAAATCGTAATAATAAATAGAAGGTTCAATTCTCTATGGCCACATATGAGGCATGGGAAGATACAACATCTAGCATAAAATAATCAAGATTTCGAATGAGGAGGCCAGTGATGGAATGAAAGTCAATAAATATAAAACTCAAATTTTGAATAAATTTGTATATGAGAAAAAGAAGGCTAAGCACCATGAAACCGGCAGGCATTCCCAAACCATTTCATTTGCATATGATAAAAAGAAGACTAAGCACCATGAAACCAGCCAGGTATTCCCAAACCATTTCATTTGCATGTCATAGTTTCCAAATATGCCTTCTTCCACATACCACAAGTAGTCCTTTCCATTGTTCTCTATCACATATCAGGACAAATGGCCCAAGACATACAATCTTAGTTTCTTTTCCTCTTTTTTTCTTTTTACACCCTTTAGCATTGCACCCAAATCAATTTTGAGGCTTCATTATGGTTCTTTGTGTTTCAACTTATTCTGGACATACCAGAATATTCCTAGCATAAGTCCACAACTACAAGTCGACAGATAAATGTGAAGTAGGCAAGAACAAATGCATAGGCCAAAGGATTCATCCATCCTTAACCATAATAGTATAGAAATGAGATTTGATCTCTCATTCCTGTCCTTGCAGTACCAGAACTGGGAACTGGGGCACAATGTGTTTAAACTGGGATGCTTCGTGTTTGGGACACCACTGGGATGCTTCATGTTTGGGACATCCACAAAACGCTTTCTTGTATGAGGCAGGATGATAATAAAAGTCACTATTACATTTAGAACTTTGGTTGGAAAATTATATGGATACAGAGAGGATTGTGGCCGTACCCAATTAACTTTGGCTTCTTTGGATGAATTAATGTGAGGTATATATTTCACTTTATCCCATATCCAGAGTGTCCCTAATACCTTTGTCCTCTACTACTCTACATCAACAAACATAGAAACCCGAGCTCACTTGCTCTTTCTTTCTAAATTATCAGACATCACAGCATTCTCTCACTCGTTCTGTGCCAGTTCAAAGCAAAGCCCATGTCTCTTCAAAAAAATCAGTATTCCATAGCTTATTATATTCCCTCTATTTTCTCTCTATATGTCGTGAATAGTTTCTCTCTTGTAAAATTTTACATAGAGACAAATACACACAAACACACACACACACACACACACACACACACACACACAAACCTGCAAATATGTTCATATACAAAATAGATACATTGTTGCACAGTATCAAACATATTTTGCATCAAATTTTTATCAATACATCACAAATTATGGGTTTACATCAAGGATAAATATTCCATAATGAGCATGTATACTCAGACCCAACATCCGCCCCTGGGGGATGAGTTGTTTTCCACCTTTAAACCTGTCCTCGTCTTTAAGTAGGAACAGTTCCTCAACTCCCCCTCCCAGGGAGAGTTGCATGGCGGATTTTGGACATGAGTACTCAAAAGGTCCTATACTACACATACCACACAATCCCTTATATTTAATACCCAACTCAACCAATAAACATCACACACAAATATTTCATACCCATAACACAACTGAAATGCATACAAGAACTTCTTTATCCTAGCATATACAGTAGTGGCATCAGTCCCCTTTCCATACCCCGCAACTGCTACTGGCAACTATGTCCTGAATATCCACTAAAAATCTTAAACCCAAACATTCAAAGAAACATGAGCATAAAGATGATTCATCCATCTATACTCACTGAAAAAAGTTACAAACTCAAACATCTGGAAGGCACCTAAAATTCCAACTATTTGATGGCAGTTTATGGCCACCCTTATTGTAAAGTTTGTTGAACAGAAGCCCTTCAATAAAGAGAGCCCCTAAAATTCCAATTGACACCATTAGTCATCCTTATTATGAAATTTTTTGAACAGCAACCATCTACCCTGCATTACACATGCCTTTTCTTCTGGTGCTTTTAATGTGCTCTGCTCTACCTGCAAGATATGTATTATCGTTATTCTCTAACTTTTTTACATTTATTTACTTTAAAGAAGAAACACGTTTGAGTCAGGCAAAAGGAATCCCCCTTCCGAAGTCATATCCTCGCAAAGCTTGCACATGAGAACTAGCATATTTATATGCCTTCAACCAAACATTTCCTCTTATTTCACACCCTACAACATCTATATACTAAAGCCCTAGTTTGGCTAATATTAGCCTCCTACATAGCCTTCACAGATTCATTAATACTACTCATCTTTCTTTTAAATAACTGAGACTTCATGTTAAATTCAAGCACCGTGTATAATGTCCCAATACCCAATACTTTTGTTTTTGGAAGCATCCCATTGACCAAGCCAGTTACCGATAATTTGAACTCGAGCACCATGCCCACATACCCTATACATCTATTTTTGAGAACCTCCTATTGTCCAAGCTAATTACCATTTGTTACCTGATCACCTCAAACTTACTTGTATTCCCTAAAAAACTATCCACATCAAACCATTCAAACATCTTCTGCTATGCATTTCACCCAGTTTTGATGTGGCTCAGTATTGCCCAAAGTGACAAATACAACTCAAACAGCATGCAACACACCATCAACACCAACATCAACTAGACACAGTATGTCAAGACATAAGCCACATGTGAGCAACATATTGAGCAAGACATTGAACTGGATACACCATGTTTAGCACGCACATGAGCGGATTTGTAGCTGATGACAAACATGATGAGAGCATCTTTGAGCATGATGTTGCGTCTTCAGGGACAACATCCCAAACACTAAGGTAGCATCTCCACAAGCCGGGAAAGGAAGCCAAGCATTGGATTCACTTTGAACCTTTAGAAGCGGAGTTCCCCTCTAACAAGAACTATGGTTTTACTCTGGTGAACTGCCTATCTTGGTGCCACCCCCCGTGGCCCCTGCCCAGCCTCCCCCTCAAGAGTCTTCCCCAAGGAGGTCCCCTAGACTGGCTACCTCCTCCAACCCCCTCAGTTCCTCATGAAGCTTCTTTCATGAAACGTCCGGGGTCTGGGACAAGATCTCAAACGTATTGCAGCGCGGGACATGGCGTTAAGTACAGCCCAACCATCTTAACCTCAATGGAAACAAAACAACCCGACCCCAACCTCCAACTCATCCACTAGGTCTGGGGCCAGAGACCTTGCCATTGGCTGTCTCATGCCTTTGTAGGACCTTCCAGAGGGATATGGGTTATCTGGAACCCCGCCGAGCACACTCTCGTGTCCTCTCACATAGGGGTCTTTTCTGTAACTGCGATCGTTTCCAGAAACTTGGACGGGCTCCACTGGAAATTCACTGCCGTTTACACCCCAAATACAATTTCCCTCAGACCAGAGTTTTGGGATGAACTCGATTTTGTAGCTACCCTCCCCCACCCTGCATGGTGCCTTGGGGGGGATTTCACTATTACTAGATGGTCTTTCGAGCGAAACTCTAACTCCAATATTTCACAAGGGATGTTGGACTTTTCGGATTTCATATCTCGTAATGACTCCTGGACATCCCTCTTCAGGGCAACCTCATCACCTGGTCAGACCACTCCTATCATCCCACCCTTTCCAAACTTGATAGATTCCTTACCTCTTTGCAGTGCGATGACGTATTTCCTGGTTCCCATGTCGTGGCCCTTCCTAAACCTACTTCTGACCAATGTCCCATTCTTCTTGAAACTCACCCAGCTCATAAAGGCCCCAGACCCTTCCAGTTTTTGCTTGCTTAGCTGAAAGATTCTTCCTTGTCGTAGCTTATCCTCCAGTGGTGAGAGTCGTTAGTCTCAGGTAGGGCAGGGTTCATCCTGCAAACCAAAATCCAACTCCTGAAAGCAGCCCTCAAAGCTTGGAGCATAACTATTCAAGATGATTTCACCTGGATCAAGAGTACTCATTTAGCAACCATCTCAGCTTTAGACTTGCCAGAAGAATCCCGACCCCTATCCACTTCTGAATCTAACCTTAGAACCCAACAAAAATTGGAGTATTTCTCAACCCTTAGAAAATAAGAGATTTTCTGGTTCCAGAGGTCCAGGGTCAAATGGCTCCGTCAAAGAGACCATAATACCAGCTATTTCCACATAATAGTTAATTGCTGACATCAAGAGAACACCATTTCCACCCTCAAGGTAGGAAACTCCGTCCTGGATCAATAGTCGAACATTGAAGCAACTATCCTTTCTTTCTACGGAACCCTAAACATGGCTCCTTCGGACCCCAAACCTAGGATGGGGGACTACAGCTCCTCTCCACTAGGCCCAATGGTTGGAAAGACCCTTCTCAAAATTGGATTTTCCTGATGCCATTGCGGACCTGGGCAAAGACAAAGCACCAGGCCCATACGGTTTTCCAGTTGCTCCTTTCAAGCTCTTTTAGGATTCTTTTCAGCCTGATTTCCTAAAGTTCTTCGATGAATTCGTCCATCGGGGAATTCTTCACGAAGCAATGAATGCAACCTTCACCGCCCTGGTCCCCAAAGTCGAAGGGGCCGAGGAACTAAAGGATTTCATACCTATCAGTTTGGTCAATTCCACCTATAAGTTTTTATCCAAAATGCTGGCCTCAAGGCTTAACGAGGTTCTACCCTTTGTAATCTCTCTCTCTCAGAATGCTTTCATCAAAGATAGGCAGATCCTTGACGGGTCCTGTTGGCACACGAGTGCTTACATTCAAGACATCTTGCCAAAAAACCAAGCCTCATTTTCAAGATTGACTGGGAAAAAGCCTACGAACACGTGGACTGGTCGATCTTGGACGATATTATGGCTAGGATGAGTTTGCGGTTCGCCGGAGAAAGTGGATGAGGGGTTGTTACTCCCACCCCTTCTTCTTCGTGCTGATTAATGAAGCACCGAGAGGCTTTTTCCCCTCCTCTAGGGGCCTCCGGCAAGGGGAACCCCTATCCCCCTTCG